CTGCTGCCCAGAAGCGATCTGGACTATTTTCTTTCCCTCGAAGGCTTTAATTCGGACTGGTCGATCGAATTCAGTCAAGTTGCGTCACGGTCACGATCATCGCCTACGACATGCGTCCAAATGTATGGGCGGTGTGAAATACCTACTGGGTTCGTGCTCTACATCGAAGGCAGTTTTGTTCCCGGTGCTGATGTGCTCGCCAGTACGGCCGTTCCCGAGCTGGCCCATTTCCGCCGAACCGAAACTATAAACTAGAAGTTGATGGGAATAAGTGAATCGGACGAAACCTTCATTTAGCAACATGACGAGGGAAGCGATGGTATCGGGCTCGATGCCCACCTTTTCCAGATTCGGTAAGTACGATCGAAAACGTGATTCCAGCAGATGCCGCAACAACTTTATCGGGAGGAGTTGTTTTAAGCCAGGGTCCCGAAACTTTTTTGAAGCTTGTAACCTCCGGCCGGGGAGGATGACCACACTGTTTTGGCGTGTCAATTCTTCGATCACGAGGGAAGGCGAATCAATCCAGGACTAGCATACCTGCCCTAATGTATTAATTCCAGCCGTCCACAGATCTCCGGCATCGTCAATCAGAAGCGTGTGAGCCCTTCCACATGCAGCATTAATGAATTTGATTGAGTTCTTGGAAGCTCCACATTGCACTGGCCGGAGTCGTCGTGGTGTTTGTTCTGAAGTTATGGCGGACGTCGAAGACGGAAGCCCAAGGCAGGATGAAGCATTGCGCCCAAAAAGAAAAGCGGTCCCATAGATATCCAGAACTACTGCATGACATGCGCTATGCGATGTGTGAATAGAGACAGCCCTTATATTGGCCAAAGAACGAAGAATACAAGGTTGGAGAATATCTGGGCTATTGCAGCAACAAAGTTTCAAAAACCATCAGTAACGGAGGGACTGTCTGGGACTAGTTTGGCACGCACAACTCGGATTCTGCTTTTGCGGCAGATGCTCCAGCTTTCCTTGACCTGCCCAAATTTGCCCTAACAATATTCAGAATCATAATTGACAATATATCGGAGCCGTAACACAGCCGCATACCAGTCGATACCACCACAAATCAGGACTAGAGTCAATAGATGTCAGGATTATGTCAGAACTGTAATATATGGAGCCTCCAATATGACGGTAACAAAATGCGATCACCTCTTCCCCAGGCTGGCTTTTCTGTGGTTGGCGCAGAGTTGGTCGCACCACCTAAAGCCATTCCAATCGGTTGTAACTATCCCGGAGATGTTGAAGGTAATAAATCCCAAGGATTCTGAGATTAGTCTGTTGGTTGTCGGTCTCTGTTTTGACGTTGAAATGATCGGGAGTTGCCGAGGAACCTGGCACCTGATTTAGACTCCAGGCGGCGAGACTCTCAGAAGTTCCTCCACTCAGGACCGATATAAGCGGTCATATTATAATGTGACCGGTTTAATATTCTAGAAGCGATCCTCTGTTCGGTGCCAAGATATTAAGTGTTATTGCATCGAGCCTGAACACGAGCTACCCACTGGCATTCCCTATCGTTCCAGCGCAGGTACGTCCATACATGTTGCATGGGTCTTCCCCTGCATCACCTGGCCTCTCATATTCCTTGTGACTTGTTCGGGGTCAGCTGGAATTACCGATCACGCTCTGAATTGATTTGGCGCACTTATCGTTCAAGCCATGCATTCGAGAGATCCGACATATCTATTGGGTCGGAGCGTATCGTGAGAGCGGCAGATTCCCATGCGAAACACACTTGCTATATCATTGGGAATGGCTAGTTGGGAACTCTCGCAACCAGAAATGACTCTAAAACTTGTCCTAGACGCAGCTAAATGCTCTGAGGGACAAGAATTCATTAGTAAAGTAGCCATCGTGTTATGGTGGTAGTCACCCGATTACTTCCAAGTACTCAGGACCTCAGAGTCGCCCTGGTTCTCTAATGACTTCCTGTAGGAACGTAAAGCGCATATCAATTACAGACCCACATATATTACGGTGCCGGCGATCTAACAGACAACCGCAGACTGTTTTGTCATACCGCAAGGTGCAAGCTTCTTCAATTGCTATTCAAGAGGGAAAGGGAGAGGTGTGCTTGCGTTGGGCTCACGGCTTCGTTACTAGCCCAGGTTCTTTCTCCTCGTCAAATTGCTAGGGCTCGTGTGTAACCTTGACAAGATGATTGCTGCGACGATAACTGCTTGTCAACCGCTTCTATCAGATATTCGTGTTGGACGATGTTTTGTTCGGCCACCAAACGGTTTCCGCTGCTTTCAGAGCTTTGATGATACCTTCTACATCTGTAGATAGGGAGTAATCGGATTATCTTCAATCCCTTGGACCGGGTAAGGGAAATTGGAAGTTCCTGTGCCATCGTATATATCCCATGAGTACGCGGGAAACACCTCCGGAAGGCAACGCTCCAGTTGTCATGGCATGCCGCAGCGATAAGAGTTTCGTCCCTGGGGGTCAAGGAGACTGACCTCTCCTGGTACCCAACCCGCCAAATTACATCCTTTCGTTGCGTTTGTGGCGTATAAAGTATGATCCTTTTCGGGCGGCCGCATTGATTTTCTGTGACCCATTTCCATGCACCCGTCCTGGTTAATTGTATCAAGGACATGTCAAAGAACTGTAGGTCGGAGTCTTAATCCGGCCCTTTTGCCTCTACGGAAGCTGTTCAAGGTCCCGGAGGGGGCTTCCAAGCTATTGGATTTCTTCCAGTGGCCCTCGTATTCCGTTTAATTTCAGTCTTCGCCTATGCTATTGAAACTTTCTCTTTGGTGCACATGAAGTACCGCGCTGGAAACAATCCGCAGTACCAGTGTAGGGTATGAATGAGGAAGGTTACAAATGGGGGGCTTCGAGTTAATGGATCAGGGATTTGAAAAATTAAAAGCACAGCTGCCAATGCCGCTGGCACCTCCTAAATCACGGTAGTATACCGCAGTAGGTATTCGCAAAACTGGACTCGACAGGGGCTTGATGACTCCGATGTGGCTTAACTAGATGTACTCATATGACAAAATACAGATGTACAAGTGTCCCGTCTAAGCGGATGATGGGCTTGTCCGGCTCTGGTGAGAGGCAGCACGCACCCTACTAGGGGTCTCGCCCAAGACAACAACGCGGCAAACGCAGTGATTCCAGCCAACCATGTCTCTCACACACAACTTCCACGCTGCCAGTGTTCATTCCACCCTGATCACAACACCACCATCTTCCATATCACCAGGCGATGCATGCCGTTCTGGACGCGCTCATCGAGTACGGATACAAAGCCGAGTACATGCCAAATCGTGATGACCCACAACACAAGACTTAAATATACAAGAGCTCGGGAACAATCACAGTTTGTTCGCCAAAGGGGAAAACCGTGGTCTGAGGTTGTGGAAGAAAGACTTGATGACCTCAGTGGTATCCTGATATTTCCTCAACATATTAGAAAGTCGCGTAGGAGAGATTGACATTGACATACGTCAGTTTGGAGTGTCGCAGCATTCCACACCGCAACATAGTCAAGATTCTCAGAAACACTAAAGCTTAACTGTGAGTAGATGATGACGACCACATGCCCAGGTATTTGACACACACGCATGGTCACGAGAATGTAGGAGGACATGTTTCGTCCCTACCATTGCAACCGGCGATTTCGACGCGATTTCCCTCGCCGTTGCCAAGGCGGCATCTACGTACAGAAGGACAAATCGCTTAGTTGTACGACATCATCAACTCGAAGAATCTGAACCTACCAAAAACTTCTTGCTTCCCACCAGGCACCACCTTCGAAACGAAACCAACCCGCTCAGCCTCGCTGGCCGCGAATATTCCAGCGGAGATTGCTGCTTCACGGGTAAAACTGTCGTTTCCTACAATCTTCGGGAAACGCGCCAGGGTGCCGACGTCTGCCATACCCATATCTACTTCCTAAATCTTTCAGTCGATCATGCCCACAAGTGAAGAAAGGGAGTCCTGTACCTTGATGCTGAATGTTGCATTTTCTGACGCATATCGAACATCACATGCACTTAATATGTCGATGCCTATTCCGAAGGCGACGCCATGAACAGCGGCTATGACTGGAACACGACAATTCTCGATAGCATCTATGGCCCTTTGAAATTCCTGGAGGTGGATTGTCGGGGGATGCCATCAACAGGAACAAAAGACGAGGAACTTACATATAACATCGGTTTGAATCGAAGCGCCGTCCGAGCAACATCACTGGCACCCTCTGCAAAGAATTTCGATACAACGTCCTTTACTGAAAAGCGATAATGAGGTTCGAGTACCTGCCGGGAATCCCGGACAATTTATCGGGTACTAACAATCCAGTCCACCCGTAAAGGCACGCTCCGAGGAGGCAAGTATCACGACCCTCACTTCGGGATCCAGGCTTAGTTTATCGAATATTTTCGGAATTTCTTGCCACATTCTACTCAGATATGTCGAAATATTGTAGAATGAACTGACCACCACGACAACTCACTCAGTGTTGATGGCATTGACTGGAGGACTATAGAGGATAGATGGATATGTTATCGAAGATTCACACTGCCAATGATCAGTTTCCGCACCGCGAAAAAGTAACGACGGCGACAACCCCATCGAAGGCAACCTTGATATGTTTTCCACTCGAAGATTTCGACATATGTATAGTATAGCGCTTGTAATTGCCGCCGGTGGAGATTCAGCCTGCCAGCTGGGTGTTGGGGAACACACACAAGCGTGACCTTTAACGATGATCACGCCAAGCTCGAGCCGGCTGGAATCGGGGCCCCGGGGTTTGCCACTGATAGTGTCCGTGTCTACTCTTGCCATACTGTACTGGCTGCTGTCAATGGATCCTCTCCCGTGTGTCGTAGAAAAGGACACCCCACCCGCTAACAGGGGTTCATTACCATAGCCCTGCTGTCGCAGTTGGCGATGCGCATCCTGTAGCTGGGAGTTGACCCAAGGTGTGGACGCCCACAGACTTTGCGTAACCCCCGGGGCTGGTGCGCAGCATGGGGCAGGCGTACACTAGGGAGGGTTCCCAACCAGTGTTTGGGAGCAATTCGAGGCGGGGAGGATGGTACAAGAGCCTTGAGGATGGCTTTGAGAATCGGTCGTCTACTGCAGGGTTGAGTGCAGGCAGCGTGACGAGACTTGCAATTTACAAAGCTCCGGAGGGATTCTGCGTCATGATCGTGTCCTTTCGAGAATTCTCTGGGAACAATCGAAGAGGGACGCGAAACTTGGGAGTTAGGCAGATACCGCCACGCGTCTGCTGTTGCAGCACGAATTATGGGATAATTTAATCCTCTGTATCTTCCAGATGTTGGAACCAACGGGGGGGAAAGCACAGTAGGGGCTGCTGAAAGTATGTGTGGTCATGGGGTGTTGATGCCTCACTCCCCCTTTCGTCGAGAACTTGGGGAAATGGGAGACGATGGATGCGGTCCGCACACAAAGGGTGTGTCTGGATGGCGCTGGGTCAAACTGGGTAACTAATCGACCGGCTCAACGAGTTTGAGTGTCACCCATGGGTTACCTCTTGGTAACACGCAAAATGTTTCGATATACACACTTCGTTATAGACGTTACGGTCTTCAGAGTCTGGCGGGTAATACGCTTATTGTTGGCTTGTATGATTCCACTGGAAGCCAGCCAGCGTATCATGTTTCGAAATACCAAATCTCTGAAGACTCAACTTTCCAGCCCGCGACTCAGGAAGGATATCACGCCGGCAGGCCAACTCCTCGCACTCCATCCTCGTTCTTTAAGCGGTATGGGAGACTGAGGGCAGTCACGTCTGCTCACTGAAATATTTAAATGCAAAATGTCCCCCCTCCCCCCAAAAAAAAAGAATCGTGATAGGAAATCCGTCACTAGCCATTGGATCCAATGAGCCGTGCGAATGTCACCCTACTGGAACAAGACGCTAGAAAGGCACACGGTAGAAAGAGATCTCGACAGATACTTAGTGCTGCCTAATAGTCTTGCTGAATGTACCAGACAAGCAGATGGTCAATTCAAGGTTTGTGGCCCTTCGAATCCAGCTTGGAAATATCAGCACCCATCTCAGTCAACGTCTATTTGTTCACGGGACTGTGACGCTGATTTGGGGGAGGATGATGAGAAGACGGCTATTACTAGATTACAGGTGAGCATTGCCGACCCACCATCTCATCATTATCGAGACCTATGGGGCATGGGCAAGGATAGGGAGGGCCTATTTGGTGATACCTAGCTCGGCAGATCAGAACTGGTCTCACAAAACTCAATTGATATGTGGATAGTATGTCGTTGGTTAATCCGTTTGTTTATCTATGATTGTTCAGAGACAGAGAATAAAGATGATGGACCCGTCCTGGGAGTCAATTAAATGAGACGGAATAATAAATAGAGCAAGTGTGGTGGTGGGTGTAAGGGAACGAACGTTGTGAGCAGGCGCGCGTGCGGGTTATAACAGAATTCCAAGGCACAATGTCGAGTCCAAAAGCGGGCCACCGGGAAAGAGGGGAATAAGCAATGTAAATGAACGCGGGTTTAACGAGAGGAAAGTAAAGGAGCGACACATGTAGGTATAGGTAATAGATTCTAAATCAATATCAGGGTGGTTGTGGAGATAATTTGGACTAAATGTCTTCATCCCCTTTTCTGATTCAACCATCACGTTCCGTTCGTGAGACTAAGCAAGCCCGTTGCACAACCTCCAATTCTACTCCACACACACAGGAAGCATTTGTTTTACTTCCTGTGAATGCCAATCAAGGTCATGGCGCGAAGTGCGCCATCACGAAAGACGCGGGCAGGCCAGAAACCGACGAAGCCGATGAAGGATACAAGACTGAATGCCCGGATGATGCGAGAAGAGAGACTGGCTGTCTGAACTGTAACAACATTAGATGCAGATGCAGAGGGTGAAGAGGCGGCCTCGACGTCGTGGTTAGGCGGAGAAGAGTAGTTGGACGAGGAAGGACTGGGACAACGAGAATTAAGGGATGGTAGATCATTGCAACGAGAAAACTGCTCTTGAGCGGTTCCAACGACATTCACATTCCAGGAAGAAATCTTGGAGGGAGTAACTGAACGCTTTGCTTTTGGTTTGGTTTTGGAAGCTTGCTTCTTTGGAGATACTTTCTCGCTGGGGTAAGAGAATGCCGTAGGGAGAATCTCTATCCCTCGTGATAGAGGTGAAGTAGGGGTAGGTATGTCATCCGGGACGACAATCGTTACTTCGCCAATAGCTGGAGCAGCAGGTTCGGCGATGGAAACAACAACCTCGATTGGTGGAGAACCAGCTTCGTCGTCGGTAAGAACACTTCCGACAAGCGAAGAGGGGTGAGTTTCTCCGATGATATCCATGGTTCCTGACTCAGGAGCAGTTTTCTCCGCAATCTACATAAAGGGAAACAGATGCAGCAGTTGCAATCAGCCTCATATAATCATGAAAGATTGGGGTTTTTTTACACACTTCTTCTACACTGACTCCTGTAAGGAACTGGGGACAGGGGATGTAGTTCGCGTACTTGACAAAAGCATCAAAGAAGCTCCCCTCAGAGCCATCAATTTCTGTTCGCGCTTCGGTATCCCTCAGCTCGTAAGCAAGAAGACACTCGCACTCCGTCCAGTACCTTTTCCTCCTAATACCAGTAATGCCGTTCGCGATATCATCTTTTGCGTACGAGAGAAGGACAACGCGCCAACCATTTTCGATGCGAGCGAGTTGTGATCTGCGAGCTTCGTAAATGGGTGTTCCAGGGTAGTCTTCGAAGAGTGACGAAGACGCGGCGAGTTTAGTGAGGTTCGCCTTTAGAGTGAGTGTCCAGTCATCAGGTGAGGGTGAGGTTGGGACGTTGGGTGACGCGACTGAGGAAGTCATGGGTGGTTGGCAGTTATGATCTGCGTAAAGAAAATATTGGACGCGAATACTTAACGAGGGACGTGAATTCGAAAAAAATGAATTGGACAGGGGAAGCGACCAGAACAACGAAAAGCAAATGAGATCAGGGTCCGTTATGTAATCGTCTCTGGAGATGCTCGCTCTTTGCTTGTTTCAAAGTTGAAAATGAAATGCCTGAATTACATAGACGCCATCGCTACTATATAATCCGGAACTGTCAACAAATGTACACGGCGCTTATCCTGACATGTATTCAATACCAGGCAAGAGATCTCACGCTGCAGCATAAATTCTCCAATTCATATTCCGCATGTCCCCCATGCAGCTTTATGCTACGGTGAGCAACTCAAAACCTTTGCCTGGAGCCTGAACACGTGACAAATATTGATGGTGATGAACAGTTCGAAATGGAAGCCAACGCATGTCATGCCGACCAGATGAGGGCCCACAATTCAAAAAATTCAGGCACATCCTGAGTTGTTGCGGACAGTCCCACCATACTCATGGGGAAACCGAAGGGCATCCTCAGGCTGGCAGAGTTCATCAAGAAATCACGTAAAAAGGAACGGGCGCCACGCCGCATCACCCGAGGGAGGAGAACGCGGAGCCACGTGGAAGAGGCAGAGTTTCATAGGGGAGCGTAAACGCCGTAGATACTCCGTCACCCGACCACACCAACCGGGTCACCCTTACCATATTATTATTGACGAACAACAACAACACCCAAACGCATGTCACTAATCCCAACTGGTGATGACCCATACGGCCAAGTTCGAATGAGATAGAACCTCGAGCAACCGCAGCAATTTGAATGAGGATCGTTCGTTAGCTGGGTTAATTTTGAACCAAGGCGAGACCGTGCGTGCGTGCGTGCGTTCCGCTAATCCAGACGTCGGAGAGCTCGAGGAATAACTTCAGACCCAAGCCATCCAATGCCAAAATAAACAATCATCTTCACAATCACTGACGAATGAGAGAGAGAGAGAGAGAGAGAGAGAAAATCACACAGAGTCATTTTATAATTGAACGTTTAGTGTTCCAGGCAAAGGGGCACACACACACCTTCATGTGGTTTGAAAGGAGCTATTTTCTGGGGTTGTACGAGTGATTGTGATCGGGAGGAGGCTTTTAGCGTGTCAGGCGATGATAGAAGTGATCCCGAAGGATGGAGTGATGGGATATCGACCGCAGAAGGAACGGGATCCACAAAGGGCTTGGAATCTTGTCCACTACCACCACCACCACCACCACCACCACCCCCACCGCTGAGGAAGTCCTTGGAGTCGCCTACATCTGGCCGCGGAAAAATCCATAGGATGATTGGTGGCAGGATGATCTTCATGACCACTCGCCACACGAACAGGCATCCTACACCCAAAATAACCTTCAGTATACTGAAAGTCATGAGCCGGACGACGGTGCGAGGCGTAAGGGTATGTACGCTGGTATGATGGAGTCGATATGGCGACACCCCGACTTGGACTGAGGTCCATCGACCAACGAGAGCGCCGATGAGTGCGGAAAGGCACGCGATCGCATCGTCAAAGCACAAGCAAAGGTCTATCGTGGAAGGATGATGACTCAATGCAAAGACCCCTTAAAATAACGCCCGTCAACACAGGGTCACCAAACTTATGTCTGAGAGGATCTTGAACACATACAAACAGAAATAAGGGTGGTAGGCACTAGGAAAAAAAGCCGTGAACGTCGTCGCTAGATAGCCAAAAAAAAACAAAACCGGCAATCTCACCCTCGGATCCTCCGTGAACTAGAGTAGCCTCGAGCCATCCGCCATATCGTACGTGAACGAGGTGTGTGACAGTACCAAGTGCAAACCCAGCTAAGCAATCAGTCACGGTATGCATGCCACAATAAACCCGTCCTCCCATAACGCTAAAGCAATACACAAGCAATAGGAAACTGGAGGCGAAGTTTTGAAGAGCGCCAAGTTCTTGTTGGGATATCAACGCGAAAAGGTATAAAGTGGCCGATACGCAGTTAGCGGTATGCGTCGAGGGGAATCCATATTCTAGGTGACGCATATCAGCTGCTATAGTTAGTATTACACTCACTCTTTGGGAGTGAAAAAATAAGTACCTATTCGGATGACAGGTGGTGAATAAGGCCTAGGAACTGCAAAGAAATCCTTAACGACAGACGACAGATACCCTCCCATGCACAAAACAAACAGAAGACTTATGAAGAGAATTAAAATAAGCACATTCCTGTGGGGGGGGCCAGCAAGCCATTCCTCACCCTCTTCCAGATTCCGGATACCCAAAAAAGAAGAGCAATGGTATCGTCGCGACAAAGAATGTAGTGGTCCCGAGAAGAGCCGAGTAGTGAAAATAGACATCAAGGAATGGCGACGTTACACGCCTCTAACGACCAAAGATAATTTTCAAAGGATGATAAGGGTCGACCATGAATGCTCAACAACGAGCAGGAACGGCTACCTGCCAATCGCTGATGAGGACACTTTCGTGCTTAACCCTCCGTAATAGGAACCTCCGTATGGCCACTGTCCATCTCAGCATGCCCGCTTCATAAGCTTTAGCATCAAACTGCGTCCCAGGAGTCATGGCATGCCAAGATATTGTTGTCGAAGATGGTCGAGCGCTTGATCCCGGTGCCCGGAATACGCCGAAACTGGCCCTTCGCGGTTTGGAGCAAAGATAACAAAATGCTCAGTACAATTTGACATACGACAACCTAGATTCTATGGATAGACTGTGGTTCTGAAGGGGAAGGGTGCGTGCGACGTTATGGTTTGATCAGAGGAAATGTGCGAGAATCTGGTACTCGATTGTCGGATAGCTTCTGCTTACACTACGGATTGGGGCCTTACTTCTATCCTTTTTTGCTGTGGCTTAAGTGGCGGCGTATGGACTCACATCTAATTTGACATGGGACTGCGGCGGGCAACAGAGTCCGACTCCCTGACTCACAGTCCGGCAGGTGCTACTACGATGCAGAGGGCCTCTCCGACCGCCCCGAATTAAGCAATGCATATGCCAGATTTTACCCACAAATGAATCTGTGCGCCTTTAGATGGGATATACCAAGTTTCATTGTGCTGTCTCATTCTCCACTTAATTTCAGATCGGAAACTTGATTGGGGTCCCGTTCGCACGAGCAAGCATCGCTGACTCTTGAACGAGTGGGGTCAAGTCTTGAAGTACACTTTACGCGGACTCTTCATCCTCTCGCAAGCCGTGGAAAAGGAAAGGAATATGGGAGAACAGGGAAAGAACGGATCAAAACGAAAATGAAATCTCCACGCAGTCCACGATAGGGCGTGCGTTTGTCAATGCAGAACTCCGACACTACAGGAAGAGAAGGGCTCAAGAGGTTTCCCCATTCACAATTAATAGCAAGGGTCGTGGGGACGAATCTAGATACTGAGCGTGAAAAATCCCGATGGAAACCCTCGTAACAACGATGAACACCAATCACAACTGATCATGATGGAGCCCCAGAGGGAATACTTCGGCGGGGAATTTCCTCCGCCGTGAATAGTCTATTTCACACATTGTACAAACGTATAATCGAGACTGGAACGTCCATAGATAAGAGCTAGGGAGCTTCTAATGCTGGTGAAAGGCTCAGGATAGTACTGCCACAACGGACGTAGACTACAACCAAGAGATGGTATTCGGGAAGAATCCTGATATTCCATGCATGCTTCAGCTAGTGGCGGATCAAAAGTTTGAAGTGAAAGCTGGATCGGACTGGGGCCATATTATATCAATCGTTTCTCCAATTAATTACCATCAGTTTCGGTCCGCGCGGAACTCTCTCAGCACAATCGATCCCATCATAGGAGGCCCGTTACGTTTGCGAACTTATGCCATGCCAGTAGGAACCCATTCCCGTCGCGCTTGCGCCACTTTAAAAAAAATAACGCTCGCCCCGAGATAACGTCCGTCTAAAATTATGGTAGTTCCAAGCGAACAACCCCGTTCCCTCCGCAATGAACGATCAATGGCTGCTCTTGGATCGCAAATAACGATTTTACATACAGGTTCTGGATTCAGATGGTATGCATGTTATTTTCTGATCCGGGGAAGTCAACAACTTTATCATTATTCGAGACCTGGCTACAGAAAAGACATCGTGATGTGTGATCTATTCATGTCGCCCAGCTTCGAATTTAGAACATATACGGAGTTGCCAGCTCCTCCTCATTTGGTTGGTGAATGTGTCGACTTCACTCACACAAGTCTTGCGGCTCGGACTCCAACCCTTATATCGGTTGTTTGATGCAATGTGTGAGAGAGCCTGGTTACGTGAATGCCAATGCGTCCGTAATATGCTATTCAAAAGTCGCGCAGTTCATGTCTTTCAACATATCTCCACCGTCCGAGGGATTGAGCTCCTTGAAAAATAAACTCTACAGCTCCTAGCAACCCCGCCACTCAGGGCGATATCGCTGAGATAAAATAGCCCTGTATATCGTAAGTTACCCCACGTCCGTGCATTGTATATGCCATCTGCATAACCACAGCAATCACAAGATGGGCATAAGAGTCCAGGTATTCATCATACGCACCTTTGCACAATCTTCCTTCATTCCTCCACCTATAGCGCCCAAGCCACCTCAAAAAACCCTCCCTACCCCGTTACACCTCCAACAAGTCTCGTTATCAAAGAAGAGAAATCCCCTCAAATACCCCTCCCCGTCACACGCACTGCACAACGTTCCACCGATCCTAGGATCGCCAGGTCCAACAACCAACGCACCAGATGGAGGCTGTCCTCCAGACACGAACGTCATCGTCGGTCCGTTTGGATGAGGGCCAAAACTTTGAGGAGCGTACTGGGAGTTTCGAGCTTGAAGTGCTGGATTAGGCATCCATTGGGGTTGTGATTGCAGTGGAGCTTGAGATGGAGTTTGAGATGGAGATGTAAATTTTGGTAGAGGGCGTTGATAGTTTGGAGGTGGGTTCTTCCAATCTGTCTGAAGGTAGGGTCCGGAGTATGGTTTCCCGTATTTTTGCCAACACTGTAAATCGATAAGAGGGAAGCAAAATAGGAAATGTTTTAGGATAGTTAAGTTTATGTGGATGGGATGAGAGGCGAGATCGGGGGATCGGTGATGTGCGTCGGGGTATGGACGATATACGAGAGAGAGAGAAATTAAGTAACGTTTGATTGAGCCAAACCAAACCTAGAAGTACCTTTCTACATGGGTGACCGGGATCCAAGTTTTTATACCCAATGTTATGACCTTCAAAGGAAAAGAACGAAAACAGAGCCGTCGGAGCGAATTTCAAGAAAGGAGTTGAGTAAGGACGTACATTTATGACATTCGTGTCCGTTTGGATAAACTAGTATTCTTCCAGCATTCAAGAGAGGATGACCGCCTGCAGGAGTGGACGTCGGATTTCCATCGTCATGGCGGCCCGAAGCTGGAGGCGGCGGGGGGTTATGTGGGGGTGCGTATCTACCTGGAGCCACGGCCGCCGGGGTCCCGTTAGGATCCCTTCGACTCGGAAGGGGAGGTGGTATTCTCGAGGTGTCTTGTGGAATGGTAGGTCTGGGAGCCGATCCTGGGTACGGACCTAGGGTTGGTGAAAGAGGTGGCCCTGTTGGATGTGGGTTTAAGGCTGGATGACGAGGTGGGGGTCGGGTTGAAGCATGTACGGCGGGTGATGGTCCAGTCTCAGAGCCATGAGTGTCTTGTCGTTGCAAGGGTTGTTGTGGTTGCTGAACAAGTAGTGGAGAAGGGGTACGCTGGAACGGGCGTAATGGCCCGTCAGAGCCGTGGGTGTCTTGTCGTTGTAGTAAGGGTTGTTGTGGTTGCTGAACAAGTAGCGGAGGTGGGGCACGCTGGAATGGGCGTAATGGCCCATATTGGACTGTGGCTTCTCCTTCCCATCGATTAGGTGCGGCGGTATACGGAGGTGGAGGCGGGACTTGTTGGTTCTGAGCTTCCTCTATTTCGTCCAACGAATTGGTCGTATGAGAGGGATTTATCGCCTGAGATGACGTGTTCCCTGATTGGCTGTCGTCTGATAGGGAGGGCGTGGGAGTTGTCCCGGGTATGGAGACTGTAGCTGGGATGCTTATCGGTCGACTTGAGGACGGAGGGGGCGGTGGGCCTGGAGGCGGAGCATATCTAGTAGCACCTTGGGCCTCCGATGAAGCTGAGGTTGGTTCGGGAGATGAGTTTTGATCTCTGAATGGATTGATGTGATGGCTTGAACTTGAAGTCTTGCTCGCCGACATGGATTGGTGTGGGTCCAAGGTCAGATCACGTGTTCTCCAATCGGTACATAATTTAAATGAATCGAATTGAACGGACAACGCCAATAATATTGATTACGGTGGCTGGCGAAATAGCCTCACGATCATTGCACTCATTGTATCATGAAGAACTCGACAAAACGCTATCACTTCACAAGGGTGCTCGCATCCCATCAGTCGTTCAAAGTTGTTGATCAATCGGAAAAGTTCGGACGAACAAATTCGGCAGATCACGTGCAGATGCAGGTTCAGTAAGGAGTGCCGAGAGCCTTACGTCCGCAGCAGTCTTGAACTCCCCATGGGACGCAGGAAGATTGAGATACAACCCATCCTGGTGAGGCGCTCCGTGTTCTAGAGGCGCGGTGGTAGACTAATATGCGATTGGGTCAGCACGACAGGAACCGGAGCGTGACCTTCCTCAAGGTAAGCGAAAGTCACTTCTATCGTAGTCGGCGGGTGCGTCTGGATGGGCCTAGACGATGTCGTCGTCTCCTCTCGCATCCTGCAAGATGCCTGGAAGATACGCCACTCAGGGCCATTGCGGGGTTTCCCAAGGAAGAATCCGACCCTGATCTATTTTCTGTCGCCTATTGGTCTTGGCATGATGCTAAAGTTGGCACACATAGCGCAAGAATGGTTTGTTCAAGAAAGCGTTCGAGCTCGGTGTCTTATGCTCCGTCGATGTTGTCGTCGTCGTCTTTGGTGAGTGCTGCAATGTCTCACACGTCCCTTATCGCTCAGCTTGCCCATCCATTCATCCATTTCTGCTTCTCTAGGGCACAACCAAAAATTATACGAGTACTCATCTGCGGCTAATGGCAGTACGTCTCGAATACTAGAGAGGCGGAGAAACGTAAGTCTTATACCTTTTAACGTCTCAAAGACTTGCCGGCACATTAACGCCCCGTTCGATCATCAAGTACACAGGCGAAAAGGAATCAAAGGGTCCACAGGACTTTGGTGGGGACAAAGGCGATCCCGAGGATGATAGCGATGAAACCCCACCGCAGCCATCAGCAAGTAAAAACGTTCAGAAAACTGTTTCGTCCTCCAATGCAAAGTCCCAAACCATGAAGCCGACGAGAGGACGATCACGTTCTCCACACGAGCACGAACATAGCGACGGTCGCTCCTCATTCGAGTCATCCCCTCCCCTCCCTACTATCAGACGATCAACTGGTGAGTGTGGCGGCTTTTCCATCCATCCATCCATTCTTTCTTCCTTAACTTAGCTGGTCCTCTTGGTCCAGGAGCGTCAACAACACGGCCTCCCACATACAAACTAAATGGCCCCGATGTCCACCACTCAAATGGCTTCAACGGATTAAATTTTTTCCCTGCTAATCACCTCCAGAATCTTCCTCAAGGGGGTCCAGCCGACCTTCAGCATACGCTCGCTCAATTACTCGCGACGAATCCTTACCTGGCATCTCAACTGGCTCAGCTTCCATCTATTATGAATATAGGCATGGGAGCGAATCATCCTGCGTTAGGAGGATTCAGCGGATCATTCCCTCCTGCCGGCGCACCAGGGAATGCATTAGGTGGTTTACCCCCGTTCGCTGTTCCAGGTTTACACCCACTTTATTCGACTCCATTACTTGCGAATTTCCTTCATCATCAACTACAGCAACAGCAACAACAGCAGCAACAGCAACAGCAGCAACAGCAGCAACAGCAGCAACAGCAGCAACAGCAACAGCAATCTGGCTCGAGTCCTAACCCCAGCGGCATTGCTGGCGTCGGACCGAATGTTGGCTTTCCAGCACAGCAGGGGCAGGCAGGAACTGGTGGTTTATCTTTACATTCTTTGATGGGAGATAGTTCGAGTACGACTTCGAACCTGATGAACGCCCTTGGAATCCCTCTCACCAATCTACCCGCCAATCAACAACGGCATCAACAACCATCAGCATCCCATCATGTTGCGACTGCTAGTACGCCCGGGTCTGTTACTTCAGGTGGAGGTACGCCATCTATTTGGCGTCCCCACACGAAACGCGATTCAGGAGAGAGAGACGACGACGACGAACCACTTCGATTTCCTGATCTTGCTCCTGGTGCTTCTACTTCTGGAACTGGTTCTAATGCGATTAACTCTTTGTCGTCGGCATCCACTGCGAGTCAGGGAACAACGTGGCTAGAATTCTTAAATGCCATAAGCAACAGCACAATCGTCCAATCTTCTACAAACGCACCTGATACAGTTCCCCCATCTTCGACGCATTCCTCATCGAACTTGAACCCCAACATAAACCCAAATCTAAACCCGAACCCGCTTAGAAGTTCTACACCGACCGTATCAACCTCATCGTTCTTACAACCTCCAGGCGCGGGAGCTTCTTCTGGCACGGGATTATCTAATCTGTCCAACCTGCCGGGGCTTAGCGGTTTGGGTTTGGGAGGTTTGGGGGGGTTTGGGTTTAGTCATCTAGGGAGCGGTGCAGGTGGGACGGGTGTGATGGGGATGGGATTGGGATTTGGAGGTGAAGATAGACCTCATAAGAGAATGAAAATCGACCCGGGATTGGGACAGTTAGATTTAGATGGTTCCTTTTATCAGCCTCCTCAATACCAACACCAGTCACCTCTGTATGGGGGACAAGGGCAGGTGCACGGAGGACAGCATCACCAATCCGTTCACCCTCACACCCATCCTCAACAAGCGCCTCCCCCACCTCCCCCACATCATGCTTCGCACCGTGAGAGAGGAGATACGAGGGAAAGTATGAGCGGTGCAAGTGTTTTGGCGAGTCCACCTGAGGCTGAGCTGGACGCTGAGGCTGATGGGAGTCAAGCAGGTGGGGAACATGCGGGCCATGCGAGGGGTGTCGGGGAGAGGTATGAGGCGAGTGAGTAGGCAATGCATGTTCTAGTTCGGGAGATGGAATAGGGTCAAGGGGATAGGAGCGTATTTATTGCACCTTTTCTGAGTGATGCGTGGCAAGTTTGCCTGCTTTTCAGTCTTTTCTTAGGGTCACTGATTGCGCGCTCTCTTATAGATCTCTTTCTGCTTTGTCTCTGTAACAGTGAGATTCCACATAGCTTGTTTTCTTGTATTTTGCCCAGCTAGTATCGTGTTCTTCCGTTCATTCGAGTTCGTGTTGTTCTGGCATTGTTTCAATCTTCGAGTTTGGGTTATCCGTCTGCTGGTTCCACGCTGCATAGTATTGGGCAATGTTGCTATTTGCGTAATTAGTGCTGGTGACTGTTTCGTTGCCTCTGCTCTCTTGTACTTGATCTGGAAGAATAGCCATTGGCGAATTGGATTTAATTTTGGGGGTCAAAGAGTGTCAGTGTGTGCTGAGGCCGCCGTCAGTCAAGTTATCGCAATAGCGCCCTTCCTGATTTCGTCTCGAGGTTTGTTGGCTCAGAGCTAGGGGATGATGCGTTGGGGTTTGGTTAGATGATCATAGCGGGGCACGTTGCGGATCTCCAAATGCGTTCTGCGGACTAACCAAGTAATGTGATTTTGGTCCATATGGAACTCGCTTTCGGGCCCCCATGGATTTGTCTAAGATTTGCACCAGGTGTCCGAGACTCCAAATGTGTGTAGCCAATTTTCCGTTTCAATTTTTTTCGGCCATCCCCAAATGCGTCCAACACGAAGACCTGGATCTCTGAAGCCGTGAACAAAATACTTGATGAACGTATCTATGTTTATTTAACTATAACATGGTTGGGGCTAGAATGGTTCTGCGGTTTCGATTCGGTTCGGTTGGAACCGGTTCGCAATACCCCTCCCAACTTAGAGAACCAGAACTGAACCGGATTGGAATCAAATCAGAACCAAACCACGGTTCGGTTCCAGTATGATTCGGTTCACGGTTCGGTCCCGGTTCGAACCTGAGAACCGCGGCACCCCTAGTCTCAACTGCACCCAGTGCAAGCGTCATGTTAAGCGAAATAGACTTTGCACCACTGCTTTCGTGTTCTCTGGCCTAGGAACGCCCCATTTTCGACGAGTCAATCACTCCATAATCACACGCGCCCCAAACAGCAATTGAGGTTGTCGGAAAACCGGCTCAAACTGTCAATGTGCACGTGGGACTTGGAATGCTCGACGACAGAGCTGATTCTCGCACACTTGCCCATAGCTGCCATCACGATGTGTCGGGCGTGGAATCAGCCTCCCACTATACAATGCTGGCTTGGACGAAACTAATATCGACAAACGTAGTGTCAAGGGGTGGAAGGCTAGGAAGGCTCCAATTGGGAGCCCTTTGAACCCAGGGAAACTTGACGACTGGAAAGACAACTGAAAGTTCTGAAAATTGCAGTTCGGCGAGTTGGCGGGTGGTCATCGCGTGCGGGATGGTAAAGCGAGGTAGGCTGCTACCTTATCGATTCGTTCCGCTGCCCTTCCGACTGGCGTTTACGATTGTTCCCCGTTAGTGCTGGTTCGCGCCCGGTTTGTACGGGTTGATAAGCCCATCCTATGGGCGTGGACGAGTGATAAACCAGCTGCAGGAAAACAAATAACAAAGAGTGCAATGCAGCAATTGTTGTAACTTCTCACTGGTATATCGGTAGAACACACGCCTGTCAAATTACTGGTACGCGTGGGAGCTGGGTTCGACTCCCAGGTGGGAAGCTTTTTGTTGTCCAACACACTTGTTCTTCAAAAGCATAACCTGCATTGTGCAACAGCATCCTTTGACGCCTTCCCTGAACCTCCCAATTACTTGTGCTTTTGTCCTGCTGAAGCGAGACGGAAATTGTTCCCACTTTTTGTTTTTCAAATTTCCAGGATACAAATATGCATTTGAGCACTTCTCCAGTGCCAACGGCATCTGCAGTACTGACACTTCCTGTGATGTCTCATTGAAGTAGTAGGTTTGCTACGAGACATGAGCTCTTTTCGGCAAGACGCCCCCATTTCGCCTCGACTGGCCGATTTGAGAAACCATGAGGCTGACGTAAGCAGGTGACTTTCAGCCCCTCACCTAACAAACGGTGCAGAGGTTTGCAAACAGCCTGCCACAGCCTGCCCCAAGTAGAGTACGTAACACCTAGTTTTTCAGATCGTTGACGCCTGATTACAACGCTTTAGTGTCAGCGCACACGATGGAGAATCCGGACGCAAACGTTGGGCTAGCCAGCGCGGATGCTGATCAAGCCAAGGTCGCATCCGGCCAGCCGCCCTTGGCTCCGCCTGAGCACGCTGTCATTCACGCCCTCGTTGAGACTCAGCATACCCATTATCCTCCCCATCCAGGCAATCATATACCGTTTCTCAGTGTTGAAGAAGCGGCTGATCAGTCCACACTCCCACAAGCCGATGATGGCAATGTTCAAGACGCTGGATTCCCATCGCATCCTCCTCCACCCCCTCCCCCGGCCAAATCGCGAAGGAACAAGCACCCTGATGAAGAAGGAAAGCCAAAGATGAAGCGGATCTTTCAGGCGTGTAGTAAGTGCCGCGAACGTAAAGCCAAGGTTAGTCTTAGATGTCTATTGTTCGTCATTTGCTCATGCAAGATCTATGTGTTGTGTGTACAGTGTGATGGAATGCGTCCAACGTGCTCTAGTTGTATCACTAGGGGTCTACAATGTGAATACGCCTCTGAGCGTAAAATGAGAGGTCCAAGCAAGAAGCGTCTACGTGAAGACGGCACGGTGCCTCCACCCAAACGTCGTAAGCCTGCTCAAGGTGCCGAAGCAGGCCAGAATCCCGATGGGACTCAAGTGCCGGATCCTTACGTAGGGATGCAGGATCCTTCGGTCCCCCCTGGTTATGTCGTGGATCACTACGAAGACCCAAGTCATTTTGGCTTCCAAGCGCCATACCCTGGACAACCCTACCCCTCCGGTCCTGACGGTCAGCATCTCGGATATTCTGCAATGCCCCCACCACCCGACGGTCCTCCTGGGCCCATCGATATGAACGGTGCTGCGTATCCGGGTCAGCCGCAGTACGACCCTGCCGTCTATGGTCATCCTCCCACATATCCACCTCAATATCAGGCGTATGCGTACCCACCTGATGGCTCTGTGGCATTCCAACAAGGACCTGTCTCTCCTGGGCGTGCTGCAGGTCAGGAGCGCCCACCTGAGGCGTCATCCTCTCAGCCAGCCTCAGCTCCAAACCCAGCTAATCCTCCTTTCCTCTCCCGTGAAGATTTCGCCGTGATAATGGATCGATATCTCAATTCCCTTTCACGCAAAAATCGCGAGAAGGCTCTGCTTACTCAGGCAGTGTACAACGACGTTCTTACTCTTCTTAAGGCTGGAAAGGCTGCAGAGGAGTTTCCAGATGGGACGACAACAGAGACGGATGGAAACACTGTCCCTGTCGGTGATCAACACGTAGATATTGACCCCTCACTCGACACGCCACAATTCCGTTTCTGGGTCCGGAAGATGTTTGCGCTGCAGCATATGAACGATGTCGAAGTGGTAACTCATAATGGAAAACCCGTGGCGGTTCAGGAGCAGTTGTACGAAATCTTAACCCATTGTCACATTCAGACGAATCATGGAGGACGTGACAAGACGGCTCATATGGTCAATGAGCATTATGTAAGCCCTCCTACTCTTCAACGTCATTGTATTCTCATCCTTGTGCTCAGAGTTGGATCCCGAAGGTCTTCATTGAGACGTTCGTAAAGTCGTGCCCTGGTTGTCCGCGCAGGTTCAAGAAAGTGGAGGCGGCTGGTTCCAAAAGTCCCCACACTCTTCAAGTCGAAGCTCCAGTTGTCCCCGATGAATCTGCGCCAACAGAACACGTTGAGATAGCAAATGCGGAGCCCGTCACACACATTGAAAGCGGGGAGGTTTTTCAACAAGTCGGCGTCGCCCCGGAAAGCGAGCCTGCCGCACATCCTACCGTGCAAGTTAAGCAGGAGCGGAAAGGGAAGTCCCGGGCGAAAGCAACTTGATTTTCTGGAGTCTGTCCTCGTACCTCGCGTCTCGTTCAGCTCGCCCTCGGACTCTTGTTCTTGAGATGATCATGACTGTCTTTCGATTCTTTCTCATTATTGTTATCTCTTTCCGATTTGCCTCAGCGGTATTCGAAAAGTAATCGATACATGCATATGAAGTGTATTATTCTCGCCTGCATCTGTGTACTACCTCCTAGATGACTGCAATGGTTATCTTCTTGCCCTGACTCCATCTGTCGCGGCAGCCATCATGACGTAACTTGACTGCAGCTGGATCTTGTCTGTGCTGCATTGACACTGGCGGAGCGGAACCGGTAGATTTGGATTTCGCATGTAATTAAGACTTTGCATGCCCGGCGAGGGCTTCAACCCACAACCGTCTCAACCAGACTCGTACCCAGTTGTCGTCGCCTGTAGGTTTAGAATTTTGGTCGTATACATCAAGCATCTGCTGAAATGGTCGGCGTGCAGGGTACTATAGGGTTGCTGGAGACTGGAACAACCTTAGCAACCTGTCAAAATTTCCAGCCACTCTGCTGGTTGACAAACTGGCCCCACGTCGCGGCCAATGCACGCTTCTACACATGCCGTGTTTCCAAAAGGGGCAAAGCCAATTCGAGGGAAGTGTCAGGCCCTCGAGCCAGCTAGTCACCGTTCATGCGACACCATGCACGGACCCTTGGGCTTGGCCGGATTGCACTGCTTGACTGAACAAACTCGGGTAGCATTCTCAAGTGCTCCTAGGGGGGTCAAGCTTTGTCATTTTCGGTTGGTCCGCACTCGTCCGTCACCATCAGGCACCCAGATTTGGCTCGATCACTGCACAGCATTCAAATAACACGCTATGGCTATTGGAAGAATAGTAGGCATTCGCCACGTCGGCCTCAGTTGTATTACATGCATGCATGGATTACACTTGGGAGTTAGGACCCCTGCCTACTCATGAGTCCTAGCTCAATCGAAACAAACAGATGGTCCCTTCCCCCACACGAATTGTAAAAAGGAGCCCGGAAGCTAGGCATACAGTTTCGTGTACGGACAGGAGCATGGGCTCCGGATCGAGGATCCAAATAGGGTTAGGATCTGTATATTCGAAAGGGAACTCAAACTCGTTTTGGAATACGCGAATATCATTCGATATCGCTTGTCCGAACACCGTCCTCTTCGGAAGATCAACATCATAATGGAATAGAACGTCGTCAGGGAAAAGCCAAACCCCAGGTTGGGCATGCCGTGAGGGGCGACCATGGTGCGTGTTGTGCTCCCGGATAATTGAGGATTGACGTACAATGACGGGGGATGTGAACCCTCCCACTTGGCCAGAATTTCTAGGAGGGAGATCAAGGATGAAGAGTGCAAAGTGATTTCCGCTCTCCTTCTCCAGTTGCAGCGCATGCAGAGTGGATGAAAACGACGCTGACATCCTTGACCCAGTTACCCTGGTGACAGATCCCCTTTCCTTTTGAAAATCAAGATCAAAGAATTCCGGCTCGAAGTCCCACTGCCGGATAGGGAGTGATGTGCTTCCAAAACGACCAATGATGTTGTATCTGCAGAGCTTCCACCCGCGGAGGGTATATAAATCATCGTCAAAGATCCATAGGAAATGTTCCTTTGGGAAAAAGTTAAGATCGCATGGGGAATGAAAAGTGATTTAAGACACACATCCGCATCCAGATCGAGTGAGAACCAAGCATCATTCGCCCAGTCCCAGACAACGAAACGAGGCCAATATGGGATTACGACATATGTTCCGTCAAAATACCCTAGACCTGCATATCTGGTCCTTTGATCCTTATCACCAAATATCTGCGAGGTGGTCAAGCCCCAACTTTGACAAATCTCATAACAGGACCATCAGAATTCTGAACACATTCCAGGCGAACTACATCGTGAGTCCAACTGTTAGAAGACGACGGTGAGCGAATCATGCGGGTAGTCCCATGAATAAAAACACATGACATACGATGTGTGAAGTCGGCCAACACTGCAAAGGACGGAGAATGTTATGTAGCTCCTATGACCGTGTTCCACGCCGAATTGAAAATAGCACCCATTGAGATTTGATGAAGGCAACATGAAACGTGCCACGGGATTCAAGACCCTCTCGGTTCTAGTGTCCTTCAGGTCCCAGCAAAGCAGCTCGCACGCGCTGCCTTCAGCCTTCCCTAGACCAACGACATACCGTCCACCAGGAAGACACCTGGAGTTCCGTAAGGAAGGGCCACCCAATTCGAATTCGCGTTCGCGAGAGATTTCGATCGTTCCGCGCAACAAGTTAGCACGAAAGCGATATGGATGGAGTGAGAAATTTCGGAGATCTTTCATTGACATTTCGTCAAGAGGAATGGGTGCGGTCAATACGGATTCCTGTGTCATAAGCCGGCGCGCTTCACGGTTCCATATATAGCGATCGTTCATGAGTATGTCATACAGCCATTTCGATGTCTCCCAACAAGACAGAATGTCAGTACAGAACGTGCGGCACACATCTGACGGTGTGGGAGAGATACCATTGATAGCTTAAGGAGGCCCAAAGGCTCAAGCCAAGCGGTAACCAGGTGCCAGACATCCAAAGGGACTTTTGACACAGCGTGTCCCGATTGCGAAGCACCCAGCTCATTGTCTTCGGACATCGATTTCGAAAACGGGAACGAGCGGCAAGAGACACCAACCCAAGATGTTACAGACACCAATGCCGAGGTCACTGGAGTCTGGCGTGATAGGGGTCGGCTTCCACATATATATTGGTGTATTGACACCGAGGGTGTCCGTCGTCCGCTTTTGTCGCGAACGAATGTTCCTTCCCTGCATTTCGAGAAAAGATTCGTAATGGTGCTTTTGGATGATCGAGACCTTGTTCCAAACATTCGCACTTGGAACAGCTGAGTTCAGTGTGTCACCATGTTCCAGCAGACTCGACGATGATAACGGACGGTGTGGATCTGGAAGACACAGATGCTCCGTAGTGTTCAGGAACAAGAGAGGTTGACCCATGCTTTCAGCATATCGTAGATCCATATCAGCGGTTGGGCCATCTCATCCTTTTCTCGCCTGGGCTCCCCGGGCGATGTACGTCCGTATTTGCTGCACCAATCAGAACCCTTGATGCTTGGCTAGAATGTCCTTGCGTTCTAAGCTTTCCTACCAACCATTCGGTCGAGCCTTCGAGGCTGACCACTATTGTTTGCTGTGGAGAACGGGAGTCAAGGGTATATCGGAAAAATTCCGGAGTCTTGAACGTCATGGGCTGCAAAGTACTCTCACGAAATCCCATCCTAAGTATCGGTTTGGAAGTGATATTTGGAGGTATCGTCTGGCTAATAAGTTCAAGCCAACCACGTCGATGAACAGTTTTCCTTTCTAGTATTCGAAAGTACATCTCCAAAACCTTTTATCTCACTTGGCATGCGGCTGGGCCCCCCAGCACACCACATACCAGGCATACTTACAAGGAAGCCAGTATGGGGCGCCGTGATATGCACGGGGATACCTCATGTGGAACATTGTGGACAGGTGACCTGTTGGGGCACTGATTGATTGACATTTCACCGGTTCTCATCCTTTGGAGGATCCCGAGCAAACTATTCCTTGCCGTCGATCTGCTACAGGATGACTTGCTTCTTCGTTCTTACTGTCGCGATCCGGAATCATTCTTAGCGGATTATCGGTATGAAAGTGCACATTCAGGGGCTAGGTGAGTTGATAGTTGTGTCGGACTGGACCTTTATTAGTGAAAGGCCGTGACGGTGGCGTCGCTCGGAGACATAACAGTTGTCCCCCGACCCTTAGTAATCTATTATCCAAAGACCATGACACATCAGCAAACGGGACCGACGCGACAAGTCAAATTATATACATATGGAAGCTCTATCGTTGCCCTGACGTTGGCTATTGAATATTTACAATGATTCAAATTTCCCTGCACATACTTCTCGTACGTGATGCGACCGCCCAAAGTTTCGTCGTCGGAACTTCTGAAGCCGGAGAGGTTGAATCCAAGTAGTATCAAGTAGGACCGCATCGGTGGTCGGTTCCCAATTAAGAATTTCCTTCGAGGGCGAACGTCAGGACATTGTAGATTAGGAGAAAACGATCCTGATCTCGACCGTTGAACGGGAACACGTTTAGCAAGGTGGATGTCGTGAGCATATGGCTGAGTGAATTTGAAATCGGGGTCTCGAGCTTCCCACGGTATCAAGTTGAAGAGACGCATGAGTTGGATAGGATCTGATCATACATTTCTAGGGTTGCCTCCTAGAACTGGTGGCTTTTTGAGATGCATTCGGCTACTTTTTGTAAAACAAGAGGCGGTTATTCCGAACGGAAATCTGCAAAGCCGACTCAAATATGGCTCTCTTTTTGACGGTTTTGACATGGGTTCTACTGGTGTAGCAGGAAGTCCAGGTGTCAAGGAAGGAGACACTGGTCTAGGTACGCGCGTTTGACTCGGCATAGAATTGATCTTTATATTCTTGGTGTATGGTGGTATGTGTTTTTTGACATTAGGAGAGGAGAGCGGCCCGATCCTGTTCAGAGTTTCAATAGCAGAAAGTTAATGGACAAAGAAGAGGTTGAGGGTTGGGAGCGCTAGGCTCATTGTTCTGTAGTCTGGGACAGACGAAGCAGGTAGCCCGTGCCACATGTAAAAATGCCTGAGGCAGGAAAATTTCCAGGGCAGGCGGCCCCCTGGAAGTTGAAACACGCTCGGACTATTGGGTCGATCGGAGAGCTGAAGATCCCAGCCAAGCGTCAGGGTACCCCAGCCACTGTTTGACCAAAAACGTATTGGCTGACTCATCAGACTCGTAACCAAATGTTAATGGCTGTTTATCGTGTCGTGTCAGCGATAAACAATCACAAACATCTGAGTTGACGCATCGATCAACGGTCTTAGTTGTGGCTTGGGGTTGATTTGGGTTGGTTGGATCTAGCTGACCATGCAAGGTGACATGATTCTGATTTGACACCCTTCGCACCCATCGTGATTACACTGGATATGCCGTCTGTGTATGATCTAATCGGTGCGTACGTTGGCTAATTTTATGCAGGATTGCCCCCCAGGCTCTCGTCGCGGCAGCTGTCCATGAACTTCCACGGACATGGTTCTGTGTCATATCAAATGTGCATAATATGGATGGAACAGTATCGATTCACAGATTATATCTACGTTCAGAAAATGGATTACATACCCGGTGGGCGAAGGCAAGGAATATATGAGAAACATGATACACAAGTCACAACTAGCACGAAATTATAACACAGTACAATGTCTATACTAATAGAGGCTGGTAACCTGCCTAAATACAATGCGCCAATAACAAATAAGTATTTGGAGAGGCAGCAAAAAGTGAGATTGGGAGCATATCATCAACCAGGTAACGTGAATAAGCGTAAGAATTGGAAGGTGGAAGCTGGCATCTTTCCCGAGTCATGAGCGGATGGGATATGAAACACAAGGTCCATGAAGCGATGTACACGGAAACGTGAGGCATCTGTCGAAAGCACAATCCCGAAAAGCGCCGACATGCCAAATTCAACTGGAGCCAGCACCTCGACCATCCATCAGCATCTCCTTCAACCATTGAACCTTCTCCTCACCCCTTCGACATCGTGCCCTGAGTTCATCACGCTCCTTCTGAAGTTCGGCCACTTGAGCCTCGAGCGAGCGGACATATTCCAACTTTCGCTGCCGACTCCTACGTGCCGCAATAGTATTAAGTCGTCGCTTGCGGGCTTCGGGGGAATCAGCCGCTGGGACGATGCTTCCGTCCTCCGCAGTGATCAGATACTGTTGGTCGTCAGATTCCACAGATCCACCCCTAACCATCCTGTCGTCCGAGTCACCCTCATACAATTGGTTATGCTGCGGCAACAGAGAGGGAGTTTGCGCTTGGAGAGGGTAGGAGTCAATATCGGATGTGATGCTGCCTCTTTTCTGCGGAGTCAGAGAGGAGCCTTTGTGTGTGAAGGGCTTAGGGGGAGGTATATAGTGGGTTGGGGTGTTGATCAGAGTCATGCTATTCACAGAGTTGGGCGAATACCCAGTGGCCTCTTTCCGCAACTTCCTAGAGGGTTCCACGAAAGCTCCCATTCCAGGTAATTCGCGAGATCCACATGCGTCAACCTGGGGGGTGGGCTGCAATGTGCGCGGGGAAACAGGAATGCTATCTGGTATTGCAGAGTGGTAGTTGGGCGGCTCAGTCATACTGTTGGCAGCTCTGCGAGGTGGCGGGGGGGATGGGTGAGATAGGGGCCCAACGATGTTATCGATATCCATAAACTTAGAGTTGCGAGCAGGCTTTCGTGGGGCAAGGACCGGCGACAACTGCAGAGATGAATTTTTCAGAGCGTCTGCGCAGATATGGGGGAGAGGGCCGGGTGTTCAGTAAAGTGCCACGGACTGGATGTTGGGAGGAACTGGTCCTTTATACATTATCAAGGCTGCATTGATCGGGCAGAGCGACGGAAGATCAGTTGAACGGAATTGATTCTTGATAACGGAGTCGCTTAATCGAACGCTGTGCCACCAGAAATTGTCTCAACACAATATTCTTTTGCCTTGCAAGCTGTGGTTAAGCTCCTAAGTTATCCTGGGGGAGGGTGCGCTGCATAGCCCAAGCCCTAGGCTGGAAAAGCAGAGGTGCGAGTTCTGTACAGACGGTGCGACGAACTTGCAGGAGATTCTGACCCGAAGGCGCACGCAAGAAGGATGGAGCGTGAGAAATGCACAGCCCAAGCGCCGATCAGCTGTGATAATCTAAACCAGATTGACTAGATATGAATCAATAACACGGAGCAGTGTGCGAAGATCGGAGCGCCAATAGTCCCAGTGCCGTAGAGCGTGTCGTCCCAATCTAGCCGGGGACGTTTGTGGAGGACAGGTTGTCCAAATAATCAGAATACTCGGGAATAAGCATCACAATCGTGATGATCAGTCGTCGATAGTTGGTGAATATGCCATACCCCCTAAGCGCAACAGAATGAACAAACGAAGGGCATGAGATACCGTTAAGTTATAAGCTTGAGGATACTCAAGGGCTCAAGTCGAGCAGGCACTTGGCTGGATCCCCTAGGTAATGTATTTCCGCTTCAACTCAGAATTGTGTTCCACATCTGTCCTTATATTAATTGCAAGGCATCGAAACGGTTTTGCCTCGCACTAGGCAACTGGGATTTTAATGCCACACGCAGTTTAAAAGGTGCAGGAATGCGAGATGATGGGGAAGCCGGACCCGTTAAAGAGAAGCTAGGCCTCGTTGTCACGGCAGTGCGGCTCTTTACACCGTAGCGTACATGAGATACATGATGAGTTTTCTGGTTTGATCCTCGAGTCCGGTGATGTCAGGTGAAGCCGGGATGCTCGTGACCATGTTGTCGGGTGTTGGCGTCGACCGACCTTCTAACTTTGGGACACTCAACGAATGAGCTCGTCAATGTCCGCTGTCTTTCGCTTTGTTTACTTCCTAGTATTATAGGCTGAGAGATGCACATTGGATCTTTAGACGAGACCATCGAAACCTCAGTCCATTCCGAAGAACGCTTGTGCCCAAGACGAGCTCAATCGGATTCCACGCCGCCGTCTTCCAATAACAGCCGAACACGTTCACTTAAATCGCGACCTAATTACCCTGACTCGTGTCTCACAGACTGTGAGGCCATATTTCTGGTGTGGCGTCCGGTGGTACTTCCAACGCGTCGAGCCATATCAGAACATGCCGACACAAACGACCCTTCCCCGAATTGTTTCACGGACCAAGGTGCATTCTCTGCCCTTTCTCTATACACAAGTGTTTTTGTTTGACCTATTGAATGCCTAGAACGCCAGAAATCCTTATTCTTCTCCCGTTAACTTGTCAGGAAACAGCTCGATCTCTTCCTCCTCCACCCTCGTCGATCCCCCATTGACAAAGAAAGTGCCTAAGGAGTTGCCGGGCATGAAAGAACCTCCTTTAAAGCGGCCGAGAGCTTCGTCATCCGTGCCGTCTACTGGACTCAAGAAGCCCAAACCTCCATCCAGGCACTCAACACAGTCCCAAACCGTCATGCAGGCAAGGCCACCGAAGGACTTTTTAGCTAAAAGAATCAGAGCCGAGTCGTCAGATTCAGTACTTGATAACGCATCCTTCAACACCCCAAATCCAAGGGCACGAAAGCATGCCCGCCGCGCGTCACCTTTCACCCCATCAAAATCCACGGAAGTTCCCTTCATGACATTAGGAAATCGTCAATTATCTACGCCTAGACGAATGTCGCCTCCAGTGATCGACCTTACGGTCTCGTCTTCTCCTGAAAGCCCATCGGAAGATCCAATGCTACTGGTTGGTCGCACCACTCGGAATGGAAAGGGGCATGATGTCGGGGAATCGTTCGGTGTTAGTGTTGGCGAACGCCATCGTCCACGGAACCCCTTCACCCCCCTATCGAAGGAACTGAAAAGGGAGTCTCCGTCACCTTCTCTAGTCTCTTCTCGGCTATCGAATGCCCCACCTCCAAAGGATTCATCCGGAAACCACTCTGACGCAGGAAGCAATGAACAGAATGATGCTGACGTTGGCTATCTAGATGAGAACTATGGTTTCATCGGCGATGTTTTCGAGGTACCCACACATCGAGGCTCTCCTAGTCCTGAAACACTGTATGAGCGCAGTTTCACGAAGCTCGGCCAGCGCAAGCCCACCCCACGCCGCCTTGTTCTAGAAGGCGAGGGAGATTTATCTGCTATGGCCAAAACTATCTATTACGAGCATGATGACGATCAAGTCGAGGCGCCTTCTCCTTCACCAACCTCCAGACGACGAAACCGTGCTCGTTCCTCCCCTGACGCCGTGACTCGAGGCTCACCCCGCTCATACCCTCGTATTTTGGATGGTTTGAATGAGGATGTACAAAATCAGGACAGCAATGATATCGAGCAGCGGCCCGTCGACGAGGCGGAATCAGATAAGTCCGGGTATGTCCATGATCCCATAGGTTTTGAAGTCCTCGAAGAAGAAACACCGGACAACAGTGAAGAAAGTGCTCATGATCGGAAGGAGAGACCTGATCAGGAGAAATCACCTCTGATCCCTCCACCTCCCTCTTCCACGCCCCCCTTGCTGGGGGATCGGTCGCGGGTTCAGGCTCCTACCAAGGAAGAAGACGAGGATGACCCTTGGGGAAAATCCCTCGACGAGAGGCAGCCAGAACTGGAAGCAACAATCACGGCACGCTTTGATCCTTCGGAAGAATCCCCAGTTAGCCAAGTACGCTTCAGCCGCGGTCTTGAAAATAGGTTTCGCGGTAACCAGATACCATTTTCGTCCTCACCGATACAATCAGTCTCAACTCAGATGGATTCTCCTAGTTTTGATCGCATTCAAGTTGAACAAACAGTAACATACGATTCTATGGAAGACGATAGCACCCTCGATTCCCTCATTCTTCAAAGTCAACATTTTGGCGAGAAAATATCTGAGTCACACCAGACACCGAGCCCCCCAAAGGAGAATGTCATATCTCAACAGCCTAAACAAATAGTCCAAACTCCTTCATCTCCACGGCTTCGTGCGGCTCAGGTCCGAAGCGAAACTCCCCGTGTCGATCGTATACCGGCCGGTTCACCGTCTCCATCTCTCCCGCTGGTTCCTATTACATACCCAGAATTCGATGAGGCTAGACCTCGTGTCGTGGATAACTCGACTGGTGCCTTCAAGATCCCAAGCATACGAATAGGAGATCATGATGTGGAGCTGGAAGATGGAACTGAGGGAGAGGGAGAGGAGCAAGATGACACCCCCATTGTCGAGGTGTCCAGTCTGGATCCTAAAGCAGCGGCGCGGGCGGCTATGATTCTAAAGATGGTATGCAATGAGAGCCCTACATTCTCACTTTCTTGGGACTGAGTCCCTCCTCCCCCAGCACCATGATTACGTCCTGGAAGATCAACAAGGTCTAACAAAAGGCCACCTTGGGAGAGCTCGAAGTCGTCAACGCACCTCTCCACGTTATTCTCCGTATGGGACCTCACGGTCTAGATCAAGATCACGGCCCCGTTCACAGGATCCTAATTCATCCATGGTATCTCTACCTGAACTCCTTCAAGAGGCCGAGGAAGAGGTACTGAGTCTAAGCATGACCATGAGTCCCAAGAAGTCTAAACCGACTTTGCCGCGCACTTATTATCCTGGTTCGAAACAATCACGAGGATCCAAATCCTCGTCCGTTCCACCCCGACTTCTCGGCCCGCCAAAAGGTTGGTGCAAAGATGACTGGAAGAACATGGAACGTGCATTTGTTAAAGAACGCAAGATCATAGCTGGGCGCAACGGGTTTGAGTCGAGCAGCCAAGTAGCTCCCATGGATGTTGACCTCGGTGATGTCGTCGATCGATTTGTCTCGAGCAATGAGTTTTCTGCACGAATTCGTGTTGGACCGGATTTTGAACGGTACGAATCATCAAGATGCTTTCTTTCCTAACTTGCATTGAATGCTTTTGTTAAGGGAGACTTTACTGCTTCGCGCCGCTGCTCTCCAGAGACGTCTTATGAAACCTATTACCAATAACCGATATGAGACGCCAATAACCCTTTCAAGCCTCAAGGTCCCTGAGACGCCGTCAACGTTCGGAGATGACTTTGACTATGATCGTTCATCACCACAAAGCTCACTAAAGCGCTCCACCTCAGTTCAATCTTTGCCACCTTCTCTTCAAGCGCCGCATTATGCACATTTGCACAATGAGGCTGGCACGTCTCGTAATACCACAAGAGGTGGTCATCCTCTACCGTCGTTGCCCCCATCGCGAAATGTCTCAAAGAGCACACCAATTGTAGCTCCCGCTATCGCGGAGGAGCGGGAGCCAGCTTCGCCTTCCATTACGTCGCGCCTTCTTAACTATGTGGGATTTAAGCAAAGTTCTGCCACACCCCACCCTTCAAACCCAGGGACTCAATTATCATCGGATGGCTTCAAAGTGCCCAGGGAGCCGGTGTTCCTGCCCACCCCTGCGAGTCTTAGCACTGGTCCCCAAATGGTGCAGGTGCAATACAATGGACCCATCACGCTACCGGAACCCCTCAGGAGAGCGTCAAATGCCCCGATGAGGGATCCTTCTGTCCGACTTTCCAAAGAATATGAGGAGTATCCCGAATTGCGACATATTGATCCTTCACCTCCAAGTACGACATCGCCTCCTGGTATCCGTCTCCGCAGCGTTGGCTCTAGTGGATCCGTCAAAGACCTTGTGAAAGGATTTGAGGATCTAACGCAGAAGTTTGAAGACCAAGTGAGGAGCACCCCCAGGCTGCCCCGAGGAGCGTCCTTACCGATTCTAGTCGGCCGACCCCGAGCAACGAGTACCTCGCAATTTTCCGTCAAGTCGTCCTCGTCTACCGAGTGGACTGGGAGTTTTGATATGAATAATTCATTTGATCAACCTGGTAACTCGAGTATTGAAGATACATTCGACCAATCGCGAGAGAGGCGAGATGAGCCGCTAAATCTCCCCGCCTCATCGAAGAGAGCAACCGATGAAGACGCTTTACCAATTCCTAAGCAGAAGCGCGTACCCGAAACCGCACCACCCAAGAAGCGACTATCATTCCTTTCATCTTGGATTTCATCTTGATGGCCTGCCGGTACATCTTGTTTCTTTGCCTTTTATTGACATCGTTCCTTTATCTGTTCCAATTTTGTGTATCATTGTTACAATAATGGATCATAGCTGCATAGGAATTCAGCTTCCGTAGTTTATAGCGGGAATCGAATCCGGTTCTTGTCAGTCAACTATCTCAGTCTCAGCGTAATCGACTTTCAAATCTCGGCCCCAGCGTCTACCATAGGGGTGTACAGCCCATGCTGTTCGCCAAGGATATAGGTGAGTGTCATGCGTTCGAAAATGCCAGTTGGGCCGCCATCGTCCAGTTCCAGCTAATCAAATATTTCAGAGATCGCTTCACTTGAAGCAATGTTTATGGATGAATTAGAGATGTACTCACCAGAGATATCACATCTTCAAGGCTAAAATGAGAAGGACATCAGAACCGTCTAGCAGTCTCAAAAAGAAATGTGGAAGTGCTGACAGATGTGCTTGACCCACACTCATGCCCTGGAAGCCACTGTATTCTACTGAAACAATGTGCACATGAAATTGGTCTAGAAAATGAATAAATGCTCAAAATCAACAAGTCCCTCATTTGTCGAGGGGACTCAGCTCACAGTATGATGGCTGATAATGAATGTAGAATCGAAGTCCTCCTTTTGGGACGCCCCATTTCTCCGATGCCACCCGTGTAGCTTCTTGCCTTATGCGTTCTAGCATAGGCACATGTTCCTTGCGCAAATCACGAAGGGATCGAATGAGAGCCGACCTTGCAATCGCCAAGAGATAGAGCGATCCAAGGCTTTTACGATCCCATTTCATGTCCGGGAGAAGTACAAATCCATGGATAGGAGAAGGATCTTCGAACAAGATATCCTCGGTTTCGGTTATATGGTCTAGTATATTTTGAACCCTATGTGGGAAATGGTCCATCAGATCAGTCGGGCCTGGATTCCTTATGTGCACCAGGGTGATTACCATTGTGTTCGGGATTTTGGAAATGCGTCAATAAAGGGTTTCGTCACCTTCTCATATAATTTAGGCGTCTCGCTGATCATAGCATGTTTCTGAGAGCTATACTAGGCGCATGAATGGTACCAGGCTTGGTAAGTGACGAAGGATTCATCGTTGGCCCCTACCTTGCGGATGTGCACGTCGGTGGCTGGGGAAATTACACTGATCTTGACGTCTGCATCCAAATATGTCCCGTCGGCACTCCTTATCCATCCTAACATCCAGGCGTACTAATTCTAACATGGGCTATTGGAGCTGCGCTACTGGAAACGGACTCACGATGTCATTGACTTCTGTTAACTGAATTTTCGAAATTGCAGGAATGATTGAAGATGCATTGTTTGGATCAAAGGCCGTCTTCTGCAAGTTGACGATTGACTGTACGGGCTCGCTGTCAGGATCTGACGATGGCAACTTGCCAAGAAGAGAGATTGACTTGAAGACGGTATCTTCAAATGTATCGGCGCATCAAGAGAGGAAATTGAAGGCATATCGGCGGCAATCCACAATACCGTCGTTGAGCACCCTAGTCAGCGTGAACTGTTTCAAGTGTTCCAACTCAAAAGCGCCCATCGTCTAAAGTCCGGAACCTTCCGAGAGAATCTGCTTATAAATTGCTTTTTTCAAGCCAATTTTTCTTTCACATCTTCCTAGTGCCTCTGGGCCCGCGCTACCATCCAAGTTGAAGCTGGGATACGGAAATCCAGCCCCCTCCGGTTTCATGATTTGGTGTGTTAAAATCGCCCCTTCTTTCCTCTTTCCTATCGACGTCTCCCATGATGAGGGACCATAACCTGGTCCGTCCGTGTTTCTGAGTAGAGGCTTAAGACACCTCGCTAGATCTTTGAAGAAACAAATACACCTGCTGATTTATCACAACCCTCTGGCTTTTTTGACCCATCTGCTGTATCTATTGTCTGACTCATTTTTTTAGATGCTTTTTAACCCTCAAAGTTACATGTTTATAAACCACATATTTACATAGCCGTCAAATGTCAGTATAATGTAAGAGTCTAATATCAATAAGTGGATGCGTATATAGAAAATGAGGTGTTCAGTGAGGAAAGAAAAGTCCTCATAAATCAGTGCAGAATGAGAGAAAATTGGAGCGTGAACAAAAACAAAAGGCAGGGAACTGGGGGAATGGTAGTCATCAAGGTCATCAGGAAATGTTGAACGAATCATGTGTCCTGCCGCAAAACAAGTGTCTTATTGTGTCCCAGTAATCAAAACATTCTCCATCCACCGGGGCTTGGCATCCCAGGACTCCGGAAAAAGTTTGTCCGTTGGAAGAGCGTGCTACTCCCCATAGGCGTGCTCGGGGCATCACTCAGTCGCGCAAACTCCTCCGCCACATCAGAACTAGGATCATAAGGATCAGGACCATCATCATCGGCGCCGTCACCGTCATCGTGACCTTTACGTCCCGTAAGACGCGCTGAAGAAGTCGGAGTTCGGAAAGGGGATGGAGGAAGGAGCGAGCGTTTGAAATTCGAGAAAGAGGCTGATTGAGGGGATAGATGAGATCGATGCATAAGCGGCGTTCGAGCTGGGGAGAAGCCGAACATATCTCTCAAGCTTCGTTCACCTGGGGAGATTTTTGGTGTTGAATGCGAATTAGAATCTCGTTGGGCTCGTTCCTCACTGGATTCGCCATCGTGGATGGGTTTGCCCCCCCGCACTTTCGGTGGAGGGGTCAGGAACGTGTGCTGTCGGTGACTATTGTCAGTTGAACCTCCGGGCACCTTGCGTGGAGGAGGGGTTGTCGGTCGGACGAAAGGTGTCATAGGCGCTTTGTGAGAGTTGAGAACAAGATCATGAGATGAATTGCTCTTCCACCCCATAGGGGTTTTTGGTTTCGAAGGGGCAGCAGGTGACGGGATTGACTTGTTCGCTTTGTATTCCAGAGCGCGATAAATCATTTCGGTGGCTGACCGAACTGACGATAACCTTCCAGCCTTAATATTGGTTGTTGGCGATAGCGGTGGCGAATCAGGCGGAGCCGGCCGCTGTCATGTGTGTTAGACGCTCAGCGTGTCTCATGCATCAAGAAACTCACCATCCTTGGCCCTGACTCTGGCGAGTCATCATCCATACACGGTTTCTTCGCATTAAGCTCAAAGCTAGGCTGTAATCTAGGAGGAGCAGTGTTCTCATCAATGGCATTCCGATGTGTCTCTGCCTCCATGATGAGTAAACTTCCATGTGATTGCGTCCCTCGATTGCGTCCCTCTGAAAGTTGGATACCACTAGCATTGGATGCAAGGGCTAGCTTCTGATTCTCTGGTGTTTGGATAGGTGGACTCGATGAGCTGGCATTCGGAGTCAGAGGAGGCGGTTGAGCCAATCCACCAAGAGTTTGCTGACCCTCATTGTCACTGCCGCCTTGCCTATCCACAGTGCCAGCTCCACTATCACCACAAAGCCCCAACTCCAACTCCTTTGGGAGTGCCAGATCCTCATCGACGATGTCTACCCCAAAACCCTCATCATCGCTGCTCTGGGCCCCATCCGACATGAAGTCGTTCGGTAACTCGATATCATCCCCTCCATACATGCTCGAGGCGCTTGTGCATGCACTACTCCCACTCCGACACCGTTCAATTTGTTCACTTACAGCTTGGAACTGGGCAAGCAAAGCCTTCGCACTCACAGCATCATCCTCGTCACTGTCATACTCCCCCTCAGGTTCTAGCTCCTGCAGGAATGTTGATGGACTGGAGATAGGTGAACTGGAAGGAAGTGGTGATGAGGGTAATGCCGGCGATGAAGGGAGCGATGAGGGGGGCAGAGGTGAGGAATCCAGCAACGGCGACGCGGGAAGCGTCGATGAGGAAGGAACCATTGGGGAGGAAGGTGACGACGATGGCACAGGGGATTCACCTCCCCCTATACGAAACCCCAAGGGTCGGTTCTTGGACCGTGATGAACGGAATCTACCCTTATCCACAGCAGGCGGTGTTTTCTTTTGTCGTGCGATCGTTGGAGGTACATGAATAGGACTTGAAGAAGGTAGGTGCCCAGGTGTGGATTCTATAGTGGGTTTTGTAGGTGTAGTCTTGGTGGGTGTGTGTGGAAGGAACGTGGACAGGTGTTTGAGGTTTAAACTCGCAGGAGGGAATCCAGGTGGCGTCGGCGTGATTGTTGTAGTTGCTGAAGGGGCCTTCGGCAGGACGGATTTCGAGGCTTTGGTGGAACCGGTTTTTGGGACAGGTGGAAGTGTGGCTGGTGGTAACGCAGGATCAGCTGTTGACGTCGATGTCGTGGCCGAAGAGGATGCCGCAGGAGAAGATCGGTTATCCTTGGAAGAGTTCGGACTGGGCGGACTGTTTGTGACGATGGATCCAGGCATGGGAGCTGTTGTTATCATATGTGGGTTGCCGGGGACAGGAACCTGGAGCGGTGCGTAGGTGTAAAGCTGCGAGACGACACCATGAAGAAGCGGGCCAGGTGGCACAGCGTAATAGAATAACTGGGGAAACTTCAAATCAGTCGGACCAGTCGCTGCTGCCACAACAGCCCCTGGCTGTAAGACCGCGGGATAACCAGCAGCCGTGTAGAATGTTTGTGGTGAAACGTGTGACGTAGCCGTTGGTGGGCTCAACTTGGGCTTCTTCGACGACTCTGCCTGAGAAAACCTCAGATCAGCTGCTTCTTGCAGTTTCCGTTTCCGATTGTGGGCTACGCTGCCCTTGCGGATATAGTTCCCATCAGCAAAACATTCCAAATCTTCCTCTTTTATGGCCCACAAACTTCCTTTGCCGCGCTTGAACGTACTTCGCTCAGTTTTATAGAAGGAGCCGTTCAGTGAAAGATTATGTCGAATCGAGTTCCTCCACCCGGGCGCATCCTTTTTGTAGTAAGGATAAGCCATCGAAATGTACTGGTAGATTTGGTTCAAAGAAAGTTTCTGCTGTTTAGATGCAAGGATCGCCTGCCCGATGAGGGCGGCGTAAGACCATGGTGGCTTCTCAGTGGAGCGGGGGCCAAGAGGTAAGGTGAAGGGGCTTTCC